TGTTCCTCCAGTACTGTTCAGTCTCAGCCCTGGGTGGATCTTATCTTGTATTATTACCCTGCCACTGTGAGCACACTTTGGATGGGTTGTTGGAGAACATCTGGGTTATTCTCCTGGCTTCTGCTTCTCCCTTGTATCTCTTTAGACGGGTGGTCAGGGTGGTGAGTCTTTGTTTGGCAGTTTCTAGAGCTCCTAGCTCAGTGTTCTAACATCCGCAAACGGCAGCTCCTATCACAACTAGAAATTGATGAGGTACAACTGACATGCTGCGGCAAGGGGGAGTCAGGACAAAAGGTCAACAGGGAGATTTCATCATCATCCCAACACTCAGAGATTGAGTACCAAGCCCCAATAACAAAAACAAGCCCACATACTATCCATAAAGACATTCCGTGAGGATAAAAAATCAGAAAGTAATATCAATAAATCCACAATTTCACAATATTTTATGGTTGGTTGATTTATTATTCTTAATGGAATGCATTTATGGATTCGAAGTTGCTCCAATATTAGAATTAAAATAGATTTTTTTTTTTTAAGAAAATGCATTTTCAAAAAAAAACTTCTCGATCAAAAAGATGTTGTAATAGTAACTGATCAGGTGAATGAAAATGTTTTACCACTATTTATATCTTTTGCAATTTTTTAGATTTAAGCTTTTATTTTTCATAATAAAGAGTAATAAAAGTCTAAAATTAATAAAAACGAACAGTAAAATGTTACATAGTGAAATACACCTAATAAGGATTCTACCTGTTTTTTCCATCTTTATGTTATAAAACATGAAAACATGTCGTTCTTTATAGGGCTCACAAATCTTAAACTTAATAAATATATATATTAACCTTTAAATGATATTTGACCTGAGTTTTCACTACCTAACTCCAACACTTGAGTTTGGATCATCACATATTAGGACTTTAAAAGCTCTGAACCTGAAAAGCATCCAGCAGATCTGTTCTTCGTCAAAATGGTTGTCCACATATTTGGAGCTACATCTTCACCAAGTTGTGCAAACCTTGCCCTGCAGCAGTGTGCAAAGGAGAACTTGGTGGACTTCAACTTAGAAACCATCTCTACGGTACTTAGAAACTTCTACGTAGACGATTGTCTCAAATCTGTAGAAAATGATGATGAAGCACTGATGCTCACATCAAACCTGAGTAGTTTGTGTGCCAGAGGGGGTTTTAGGCTGAACAAGTGGATCAGCAATAGCAAAACACAAATGTTCTCCATAGCTGAGGAGAAACGAGCCAAGGAAATCAGAGACCTGGATTTTGACCAAGATTGCTTGTCTTTCGAACAAGCACTAAGTGTGCAATGGTGCACTGAGACGGACTTATTAAATTAAAAATTCAGCTCCAAGACAAGCCACTTACTTATCGTGGGATCTTATCAATGGTTAGTTCAAATTATGACCCACTTGGAATGCTGGCTCCAGTCATCCCTACTGCCAAACAGATCTTATAAGAACTCTGCCAATTATAGCTTGGATGGGATGAGAGGATTCCTAAAAGTCTCCATCAAAAGTGTTCTAACTTGTTGAGAAACATGAGCTTGCTGAAAGACTACAAGGTGAAGAGATGCCTCAAACCTGATTGTTTCGGACAACTGGAATCGGCACAGCTCCACCATTTTGCTGATGCAAGCGAAAATGGCTATGGCACGGTCTCCTATTTGAGGATGACAAATAAATACCAACAAGTTCACTTAGCCTTTGTTATTGGCAAGGCTAGAGTGGCTCCTCTAAAGCCTGTAACCATCCCAAGGTTGGAGCTCACAGCTGGAAATGAAAAGTGGAAATGCTTTTTTTATGCTGAATGAAAAAAGAAAAATTAGCTAAAAAAACTGCATAAAGGAAAAGAAGCAGAAATTAGCTGAAGAACATATGAAAATGTGATAGGAAATAATCTGAAACTTCAAACAGCAGAAAACAGTTGAATCATCTGAGGATTTTGTAGGATAGAATCATTTGGCAAATAATGGCAGAAACACACTCATTTTAAAAGCAATAGATCTAGTTAAAGTTGATCAAACAGAAGAAAAAGGTATCTGTTTACCTGGAAGTTGACAAAGGTGAAGCATCTGCTTACGAGGCTTACGAGGTTAGCAGATGCTTTATTTGAGTGGAAATGCTAGAGCTTCATTAAGAAATGTGGACTTGTCAACAGGCCTTGGTAGTGTACTTTGAAGAAATTGGTTGAGTTCGGGTCATAGCTACGAATCCTATTGAAGCTCGGTTACCTTGACGACGCTTAACGAGCCTGTCAGTGACAGAGAGAAATGAGCAGCACTATCATTCCTTAGCTCTCAGGCTTTTTTGAATGGGAAAAACAGCTCCGAACAAACAAGTGCTGAAGGCAAACCATAAATGGTATCTAAAAATTATTTTAGTCTAAGCCACAGCTATCCTTTGTCTCCATTTGGGGTAACTTTCATGGCTCTAGCTCATTCACAACCTTAATGGGAAGGAGGAATACAAAGGTTTTTCACTCCTACTTGTCTCATTGGATTGCATGCAGCTCCTCAGCTTCACTGAGCTTTCAGGTGCTGAAAAACCCCTCCGAACAAATGAGTAGTGAGCCAAAGCCCTAAATGGTATCAAAAAAATTGTTTCACTGTGGACGTCAGACATCCCTCAGCTTCGATTGTGCCAACTTTCATGTTTATACTAAAAACTATTTGGCCACAGTGACGATGAAAAAATGTGTTTTTTTATGAGTCTGATGATTTTTCTCAGAATCAACGTTTTCCTATGCCTGAACAAGTCAGCTAAACAGCTAAACCATAAATGATATTGAAGAATTCCTTCAATGTGAGTGCTAGGAGCCTCTGAAGATGGTGAATACCAAGTTTCATGTTAGTTAATCAAATGGTTAAGAACTGGGAGCGATACGAAAATATGTGTCATTTTGGATTTTCGGATGTGATTTTTGGAAAGTCTCTCATTCTATTTCTATTGGAGAAGTGTGGACTTCTTCGTGGTCTGGGCCAAACTGCAGGAAAACTGTAAATCCCACACAGTTTAGGGTTAAATTTCCTGAGTCCTGACAAAAATACCTACATTTTGATGTAAAATTTATGTCAGTTGAGTGAAAAATGAGTGAGTGAGAACAATTTGTTCGGAAAAGCCAGAACAGCTCAAAAGCTACAGCACGCACTCTGGCACTTGAAGAAATCCGCCTGTAGACTTCCATTATAAAATTGAAAACCTGAAACTTTTTTATAAAATTTAAATCACAATTTAAAAAAAAACTGTAAAAGCTATAAAAAAAACTGACTTAAACAGAAATAGTTGAATGTTTGGAGAACATTTTAAAAGTTCAATGGTGTTTCTAGATGAAAGTATGATGAAGAAGTTAAAGGTCAAATATGGTGAAGTTTTAGCAGAATTTTGCTGAAATCTGAGAATTCTACATTTATTTCAATGGGACAAAAAATTGCAGAAAAAGCTGAATCGTGAAAACTACAAAAAATATCTTTACCAAAAGACATAGCAGAGGTCTCCTGAACAAGCTGAACGTTTTGATACCAAAATTGTTCAAATCAGTTGAAACTGCGGGACTAGTTAAAGTCCGAAAAATAAAAAGAGAAAAACAATAAGTGCGAATGCATAAGCATTCCAACTTGATAAATATGAAGTTCCATTTGTATCAAAAATTAGCAGATGTAAAATGTCTAGATGTTGTGCTGATGTTGCATATGTGTTGTCTGCATATGTATAAGTTGCACATGTATTTGTTGCATATGTAGATGCTGCATATGCCTATATTTTGCATATGTCTATAATGGATATGTAGATGCTGCATATGTCTATAATGCATATGTAGATGCTGCAATGGTTAATGCATTTGCTCTCAGCTGTTGGTTCTTGTCGTTGGTCCATGTCGTTGGTCCTTGTTGTTGGTCCATGTTGTTGCTTCTTGTCGTTGGTCTGTGATACCTGTTCCCCTCGCCATTATAAACAATGGAAGTAGATTTTTTTTGTGTGTTTATTAGAAATGACAAAAAAATTGTCTTTTCATTATCAATAGCTCCAAAATGTTTAGATTTCGGCGAATCTCGTATTTACTTCAGGCATTAATTAGGACAGCAAAGGAGGAAAGAGGATGCGTAGGTTGAAATAGCGACTGGAAAATAATGGGGGGGGGTTGTACGTGAATTTATAGGCTTAAAACTTTAAAATAACTCCAAGGGACCCCACATCTGTCCTGTGAATAAATGTGATCTCACATCGGAAGGATTCAAAGTGCTTTATATGGTATCTAGTGTCTGGATCACCGGGGTTTTCAATCGCTGCTCATCCAACTGAACAATTTTTCGCCACTAGGGGGCGTAATAGGCCATACCCCAGAGCCTCTGAATAAAAAAGGGTGGCATTTTGATAACTTTAAACATCAAAATGCATTATTATTGAGGCCTATTATTTGCGTTAACCCTTTTTATGAATTATGGGTGGCATTTTGATCATTTTAAATGTCCTCCAAAGTCCATTGGCCTATTACGCCCCCTAGTGTAAGCATCTACATATGCAACATAGACATATGCAGCATAGACATACACAGCATTTACATATACAATATTGTCATATACAACATCTACATATGCAACATAGACATATGCAACATAGACATAAACAGCATTTACATATACAATATTGTCATATACAACATCTACATATGCAACATAGACATGCAGAAAACACATATGCAACAACAGCGCAACATCTAGACATTTTACATCTGCTTATTTTTGATACAAACGGAACCTCATAGATAAACTGATACTTTTTTTGTCTCCTTGTTAAATGGCAGGGCTCAGCCGTAGAAGGCAGTACTTTCCTTCAAGACTGACAATGATTGTTTTCTACTTTGGCTACTTTAGATCACAGATGAAATGAAAAATAATAGCAAATTTGGATAATAATGCGTTGAGACTGCAAAAGAGATTTGATCCTTAAGAAACGAGTGCTATACAGTTTGTTCGAGTGGTGTTGCCATATGTTGACTTCATAAGAAGGGGTGGGGTCCCTAGCAGATCTGAGCAGATCAGAAAAGCAGTCTGCAGCATCACTGCACAGAGGAAGAAGTTGTCACCTCTAGCTGTTGATATCACAGGTATGTGAAGCTCTGACTTCCACACCATCTTTTTCTCTGTATTGTATGAAATTCTGTTCCCCGTGCGTAGGATTTTTATAAATTAATGAATGACATAGTGAGAAAATGACTTGGAAAAAAATAACCCCCTTATTTTTCTCTTAAAAGACGCTAAATAGCCATAAATATTTTTGACTGTTTAGCTTTA